GGTAGAAAGACAGCACCTTTAAATCCTCACCATGCAATGATCCAGCTGTGATTGTACTACCTCCTGCTCAACACTCTTCATCTCCAGCTTGGGCACCTGCAATTTCACTTCATCCAGAATTCTTTTACATTCTTGGAGACGCTGCTCAAAGTTGGCTGGCTTCTGAAACAAGCGGAACTTCATGGACACATCCTGCAGCTTTTTCTGAAAAGCAAACACGGGTGAGTAGCAAATGTGAAATCAAATCAGTGCTGAAGACAAGTCTTAGTCCTGTCTCAGAATACTTAAATTCATTGTCAATCAGTAGTTGCTTATTAAAAGAATAAAAAATCTTCTGGGGAAAATGCCAGTGGCAGAGAATCTTGGCTAAAAATTCCTCCACAGAGGATGCAGCAGAGCCTGAGGCAAAAGAGCCCTTAAACACACTCAGAGAAAGGAAGAAGTTTTGTATTTTTCAATATGCAAATGTTGGGGGGTGTAGGGAAAAGTCAGATTTAATGGCTTTAGAATAAGGCATCCACATTGCAGAGTGAATGCTCTTCAACTCTACCACTTGCTGCTTCTTGCTATGAGGAACAAATCTTTTACTCCTTCAAAGAAACCTAAATAAAGTGGCTTGGCAGTAAGTAGGTCTAGCACAAGCCCCAAGATTTAGAGTACAAAATTGATTTATATTTCAATTTAGAAAAATTTTCCTTAGAGTAAAAAGAAAGCAATTTGAAGGCAGAAAAAATCTGTGACAAGCTTGGCTTCTAATTTCACAATTTTCACAATTTTCAATCTTTGTACGTTAATTAGACTGCTTGCTTACAYGGTGCCTACCTCAGTGGGTGGGGAAATAATTAAAAATAAAGCAAAGAAAAGGAATTTTAATTATCTACTTGAAAAAGAACTAATTTCTCTATAGAAATACAGAGTGAAGTATTATTCAATAAGTTTTTTCAACTGTCTAGAGAACAAAAAAGAATATACATCACTAAGAAGTACATAAGTAATTAAATAGGAACAAAACATGTGCAAACACACTTCCGATTTTTTTATCTTCAAATCCTGGACACTTTATTTCACTACAGTGTGGTCTGTGCTAAACAAATTTGAGGAAAAACTGTAATAAGGCATAGAATTGGTCCATACACAGGCATTTTGTAAAAATGCTTCCCTCATCTATCAGACTTCTGAAGAGGAGGAAGGAATCATGAGCACAGAAAATTTTGGGCACCACAGAAAAGTGTGTAAATATCCAGCAGCTCCTTCCAACAACTTTCATTAAATACTTTTTATGAAATTGAGTTCCAGTGAGATAAGAAAGGAAGCATTTCTGTCAACAAATAAGTGGGCAACTGAATAAAAATAGGAAGAAAGGGCAGGAATAAGTGGTCTTATTTTTCTTCAGTGTGTTTGCATACACTAAATTAATATGTAATTAGTTTTTCATTCTCTTGAGATACTTTAATTTGATGAAGATCAAGTCCTGTGGGAATCTTGCATTGCCATATCTGTATCAATGACAATTTTTATTGGTCAGTACATTAAAAGTTCTTTAGAAAGTGAGAGAATGACAGTATTAATAGCAGAGAAAATTAAAGTCATCTGTGAAGAGTCACTGAACGATTGAAAAGTACTGAGGATCTGTGGGAGGAAAAATAAAATTATCTTTTATTCATCTGAAAATTAAGCAATGCAGAGAAACACTGAGCTTGATATACAAGTGGCATCTAAATTATCTTTTAGCACTCTCCCTCGAGTTCTCACAAATAACAATAACAGCTATATTATATACTTATATCTTATGAAATGTGTTTTACCACTGAGGGTAGCACAATTATGAAAAAAAAATTCAAGAGAGATCACTGGCCTAAAATGAAATATTGTCATAAATATTTGTAACAAAGGRCTCAGCTTTTACGTGTTTCTGGTAGTTGATATTTACATTATGCATGTAAAACATTAGCTTTTTGTTTGTATTTTAAACAATGTTAGCAAAGCAGTGTCTCAAGACGACCTTCACCAATTTGTCAAATGGATGCACCTCATTATCTAGAGAAACATTACTAAGAAAAAAACATCTGCACAGAGGTGGATTAATAAAAAAGGCACCYAGAAAAGGTAGTGCTCCCTTGCACGCTGTTGAATTTATAAACATTTATTTACACMGTCATCTGATGCCTGCATTTCACTGATGAAATATGGGCAACTTCACAGCTGCCATGGAGACCATCAGAAGGTGAATTAGTATGAAGGAAGGCAGAAAAATGAGGAAACATAAATATTCTCAACAAAGAAAAGCTAGTCCTGTAGATAAGATGAAACATTTTTTTAAAAAATCTATTTGTTAATTTCAAATTAACTGCTAAAAAGAAATTTATATTACCCATAATAAAAATTAAAACCAAAACTAAGATGCCTAGAAATATCTGATAGGGATGAAGAAAAAAAATGGCCATAATGAAATTATTTGTCTTTCTAATGAATTATGACAATTTTTTTTGCCACCTACAAAAAAACACCAAACCAGCAAAATAGTCAAGTATCCATCATTAATGGGCAAAAATGTGTATTTTTTTCTGGTGTTTGTTCAGTCTTCTTCATTGTCAAGCAGGTCTCTCTGTGTCCATGAAGCTCAACGAAATAATGCATTAGCTAACATTTTAAACTGATGTCTGCATTGCACAGCTCAAATACTGAATTTATATTTCAAATGCAGTTTTACTAAATATTTTAACATATTTTTAACTGTAAATACTTTCAAATACCTCAACAGTTATATCAACAAAGATTCAGTGTTATTCTATTTCTTGAAACGTCAACCCAAATCACACAGTGACCCCACCAGTTGGTTACACCAGTTCTGCACACCCTAGAACTGCTTGTAAAGAGACAGGAAGGATGGAAAAGAAAAATGAGCAGTAAGAAAATATGAATGGGATATTTTATTTCCTGGCTAGAAAGGAATATTTAAAGCAGTGGAGATACCTTCAGAACACTTCATGGTGGAGCAATAGCACTGCTCATACTGCTCATTTGAGTGGGTGAAGGAAAAATGAGGGATATGAAATTTGCCTACCTGTGCCACATCAATTTGGGAAAGCACTCTTTTGGCAGCATCTTTACCCCGRTTTCGTTTCTTCATTTCTTCCAAACTAATCTCGTGGCTTGTTAATTCAGATTGTATTTTCTATTGGAAAAAAAACGCACAAAAAACAAAAATCAACCCAGCAAWCAGCAAGGTGTGAAGGAACAGTGTGTGCTGTTGAAATGATTTGGAACAGTTGATTTTCCAGCAGATGGAACAGCAATGACCCTGCCCCTCTCCTCAGCCCTGCCCCTGGACTGCTGTGTCCAGCTGTCCTGGAGCCACTCAAGCAGAGGGGGAGAAAGATGATTAAGGGACTGAAAATAGACATTTTTTTTCTGAAGGAAAACACGTTTTCGTTGGTAAGAACATTAAAAGTTAATCATAGAAAAAAAAAAATAGGAAAGTTATTTGCATCACTTTTCTTAATTGTTCTTATTTTCACAGTATCACCAGGCAAGTTTGGAGAAAACTGATGAAGTGTAAATATAACACCACCTTCATCTTTGAAAGCTGTGCTACATCTAAAACAATGCACAATTTATTATATATTTCTGACTACAATCTATGTTCAGTATCAGATTTGTAGCTAAAAGCACAATGAGACAGTCCATTATTATAGTAACTTAAWCTATTTTCTAACACACATTTCTGGTTGTGTCTGTTGCAAAATCAGAGTATGATTGCAAGRAAAACATCAGCTTTTTTGGTTCACCATAAATCAACCTTAGGAGAAACAATTACCTTAAGCAGTGTTGGCTAGTGCAGTAAAAAGGGAAAGCCCATTAAAAATATTGATAAAATATAATTGAGGATGATTTAAATATATTTATGTTTCAATTGTTGAAAAATAAAAAATTGAAGCAATTAGCTGAATTGCTAGACAGCACTACTGGGAAAAGTTACCCTGTAAAATAAAGACACAAAGGTATGTTCCCAGCACGAGATGYATTTGAGGCCATTACTCCTGCATTCAAAAGTGATTTTATATTTAATCTTTTATTTTAAAGGTATAAAGCATTATTCAGATACTCTGAAGACCAACTATAATTTGAAATATATGCACATAAATTTATCATACGCTACAGTAACTGTAATAGTAAACATTAATATGTGTCTTTTTAATCACATTTTCATAGGTTATTAAGTAAAAAGTTGTGTATACCATATGTTGTGTACTTTATACAGATATTACATTGTTATAATGACTATTACATGGTTGTAATGACTTCTGTACCATTATAATGTCTTATGTATTTCAACACTTAATTGGAAGCAGTTTTTTACAAGTTATATTGAAAACGTATTAAAGCAACTTTTAAGAGAAAAAGACTTACAAAAATAKAGAAAACTATTAAAGTCTTTACCAAGTTTAATTGCAAGAATATATTTATGACTCTAAATTATTCAGTATTACTTGGAGGATTAAAATATTTTTCAGAAACAAAGTATTTGTAAAAGCAAAACGASTAGCAGAAAGCTCTAAATTTAGAGGATCTTTTCTTCTAAAATTATCCTAATTGTATATTTYTGATTTTTCAGATTTTAAGTGGTCCTTCACAATGCTAATGACTGCACAGCCAGCAGCATTTAGAGCAAATAATAGAATTTTTCTAAAAATGATATTTAATTTTTGAGCAAACAAAAATGGTCAATTAAAAGAATAATTCCATCAAGGAGAGAATGTTTATTTAATTGCTGAGCACTTATTTTCTCCTCCTCTAAGTTTAAAATTCCCCCTTGAAGCGTGTTTGAGTTGTAACAGGATTATCTTGAATTTCTGTGCTATGCATGGACCAAACTGGTGAGTCAGGATTACTTAATACCTGAAGCCAAATAATTTTCTCATGTCGTGGATGTTAGAACTGCATAGAAAAGGAAGAAACAAGTCTGAATGATAAAAAAATATCACACCCAGTATTACAACAGTTTGTTTCCACGTCTAGTCAACGAACTGGTTTTTGGTTGTATTTTCCAATTTACTTTGTTCAACCTCAGAGTCACTCTGSAAAGCATCTAATTGAACAGTTCTTATCTGAATAGGTCAGAACAGCACAGTACAGATAAGAGTAGTGTTTAAGCAATTAGCGATTATGGGACAATGCATAGAGATGGTTCTATCTTTCTTTTTTAGATTGCTCTGCAGGAAAGAGATGAAGCATCAACTACTCTGATATCAAAATGCAGAACAGGAGAAAACAAACACATTAGAGGAAAGATTAAAACAAAAGTTAGTAAGGCTTATAGCAAGGAAAGGTTCTTTTTTTTTTTTTTTTTTTTTTTTTTTTTTTTTTTTTTTTTTTTTTTTTTTTTTTTTTTTTTTTTTTTTTTTTTTTTTTTGCTACTGCTGCTCACAGGCAGAAAGATTAAATCAGTCCTGGACAGGTAGAAAAGGATTTGTAACACCTCAATATGATGCTCATTATCATTCAGTTTTTAACTGATCATTTTGACTTTTGAGTGTCTTGACTACAAATTTATTGCATTGAYTTCTAAACATCCATTAGAAAACACTATTTTCCCCCTATTATCCTCATCTCTTCTTTTCTCAGTGGTTCTTGTCTATTTTTTTTTTTCTATTTTTTTAAATAAAGAGCAAAACTTGCCTTCGTTTATTTTCTAGAACATCAGAATTAAACATACTCTATGTAACTAAGCAATACGACTGGGTATAAATTATTGTGTCCTACGGGTTAAGAATTCTAATTTCCCACCACTGGCAATTTTCAGGAAATTTGTAAAATTTTTATTCATATATATATAAATAAAAGCATATAACRCACATAGAAGATGATATTATAGCACAAATGACATACAGGTAAGTCTTAACTCAAACTTCATACTTAGTTATGGACATTAACTTTCAAGAAATATTAACTAGAGAGGCCAAATGAGAAAAGGAAGGTAGAATAGGGTAGAACCATGACTGACAAGGCAATACTGAATAAATTGGACATGACAAATGCAGTTAAAACATTGTTCTGATGCTATGGAGATGTGTAGAGGGTGACAACCTGTATAGTACAGAAATCTGCATAGTTATTCAAACTAAATAATACCAAAATGTAACCTTACACTCCTGAATAACACTTATCAGCTCTCCCCTCTGACCATTGATCCACATATGGCTAAACAAAACAATTCTCACAATTTCCAGCCGAGGAAAGGTAGGTGTAAACAACTTTTATGTTTCTCTATGTAGACAACTGTGAGTTCTTTGTCCCAAAATATTAGTCTGAAGGCAATGAAGTAAGGCACTGTTCTTGTCAAGTGACATCTTGAAAAATTGAACAATTCTGCCATTGTATCATCACATTAACTTTGGTTCTGTACAAAGCCCAACGATATGATAAAAACAGATTAACAGCCACCTTCACTCAGAAAACAGCCAGGCATATAGTGCTTATCACTACAGAACTGAAATTACCYGAGGAGTTTATTGAAATGGTAGATTACTTTTGAGCATTTCAAGCACACAATATGGTTGAGTTATYCTCCACACCAAAGTTTATATAGTTTGACTGGAGAGAGCAACAGACAAGTGATTTGTCATATGCAGGTGAAAAATGAAATAAGTCTATTTTCTCTCCCATAACGTAAAAATATTAATATAGTCACTCAGACTAAGCAGAAGCACAAAGTGGAAATTCTCTCTTCCATCAAAAGTTATTGAATAACAAAGCTACAAATAATTATTTGAAAAATAGTTTGCAATATAAATGTAATATTTTCCATACAGATTTATTTTCTTCCTGCCAGTTAGAGAATACCTGAAAAAAACTCACCATCTGTGAATTCTTGTGATGATGACTTTATTCTCTGTATTTTTTTTTGTAAATTTAGAAATATGACAAATTTTTCCACTGGGATCATGGGATCAAGTATATAAACAAATAATCTTTCCTTTTGGAATATTGCTTCAGAATTTACCTCACTCGAGGTTGTATCATCAATGGACCKTGAGGAATCTGAACTGATTTATCTGTGTGGTTGCTGTTAGGTTTTTTGTCTGAATTCATCATCTTTAGTTGTACTCCAAATAACTCGTGTAACAGTCTTTCTCTAGCATTAAATTCTCAGTGCCACATGGTGGAGTAAGAAGCACACAGAATCTAAATTCAAAAAGTGATCCTRAGGAGAAGTTAAACAGCACATATTTGACTCCCCCTTCTCTCAGTCAAGTTTCTGTAKAAACTAAACTGATCATTTCACTTAAAAAGAGGAGCTAAATATAATTTTGTTTTCTCAGGTTAATTTCTAATCAGCAGAAACAATGATTATTCCTCCTATCAAGGCCCCAAACAGATTTGAATTTTTTTAAAGCAAACACACAGAGCTCTAAAGCCCTCAGCAGCTTTTTGATTATAAATTCCCCCATATGTTCTTTTAGAAATGCAACACATATTGCTGAATGGTTTGCTAAATCCCTCAGCATGGATGAACTGATCCCTGCCCAGAAATCAACATCACTGACTGAAAGATTCCCCTTCCAGCTGTGTAGACACTATTGTGGGATCTCACATGAATGAACTGTTTTCAGCTCTACAAAAGAGCTGTGCCAGCAGAAGCTCCACRGGAGACGTGGCCATTCAGGATGTGCCTATTCTGCCACTGTTTGGGGTGGCTCTTTGCTGGAGGAATGACAGTCTATTTACCCACATAAAAATGATTGTGTATTCCCTTTCCCTCCAAGGATTGTAAAGAGCTTCACATCAGTT